GTGGAACTGTGGATCTATCCTTTTGAGTTTGCCTTGTGAATGTTCCAAAACAATGTTTATTTGGCTGTTGTAAACCCTCCAACCGGTATTTCTTGTTTTGAACCATGTTTCAAGGAATATCATATGTTACAGGTTTATATCTGTACATACTACATTGCCTTTATGCCTTGAATTCAATTTATTTATCAGTGCAGTGTTGCGACTCAAAGGGATGTCCCTGGTTTGTTTTGTTTGGAGTTTTGGTATTCAAATAGTCAAGCAATCGACTTTATGCAAAACAATCTTATAAAAACACATGCTATTTTGGGTGAGAAATCTTATATAAAAGGGAAAAAAATACACATAATTAGTATCAAGGAATGAGCTGATTTTATGAAAGTTATTTTAAATTTGGGCCAACAGATGAACCCTTATTCATTAATTATGTAAGGCAAATGGATCGTGGGACACTGAAAAGAATGTTGGGGTTCAAACTCCAGATGAGTCGGTGAAAGTATGGCTAAAGTATTGGCCACAGTCACCCCTTTTTTTAGAGTTGTGCTCAATGAATACAAAACTGTGTGTGTGTGTGTGTGTGTGTGTGTGTGTGTGTGTGTGTGTGTGTGTGTGTGTGTGTGTGNNNGAGAGAGAGAGAGAGAGAGAGAGAGAGAGAGAGAGAGAGAGAGAGAGAGAGAGAGAGAGAAAGATAGATAGATAGATAGAGAGAGAGAGACGGTGAAGAACCTGTGCAGGGGAATCAGAAGGAGCAAGTGACTTGAAGGGATAAGAACAACCAAATGCAAACAAGTGAAAAAGAACCACAACGAAAGTCATTCGAAGGGCAACTACGGTAACTACCATTGTCATCGAATAGGACGCCAGGACATTCTCGCCACTTTGGGACTGGAAGTCACCCCAAATACAGCTATAATGCCCCAGGGACATTCTCGTTAGGACCTTCGGGTGAAGTAGGTAGTTCATTGGATGCCACTTTGGGACTAGACGTCACCCCAAATACAGGTATAATGACCCAGAGACATTCTCGTCAGGACTTTCGGATGAAGTAGGTAGTCCATTGGAGTTTGGAAATCCCGAAACCAACCTTCTTAGAATTTATGTAGACCCCCTGACCATCGTGGCACATATTAAAGCAATTCGTTTTTCACAAATCTTGTGGGTCGAGACCAGTTCTTTTTTTGCAAATCCTTTATTTTTTATTTATTTATTTATTTATTTTTTCCCTAAACGAGGGGCCCAGTGCCCAAGGCTCAAATTATGCAATTGAATACAAAGCGAACCCACGCCTCTTCCCATTAGGGCTGGAAGAGCCTCAGCCACTGCTCCCATACAGACAACTTCCCTATTGGATATGGAGGTAACACAGGCAAGGGGCATTGATTGCTTCCCAAATAAGGAAGGACTAACCCGGCACCAGGCGGAATCAGGCTCTGCCTTGCTCAACTTGACTAAATCTACTTGGGCCGTCGACCGCCGTCCTGCACCATACACACTGGGGGGGGAGTGGTAGCAGGGTATACAAGTCTAATTAAATCGAAGCGCCATATCGGTATGTCATAAACCGGACCTGGCTGGCCAGATTGGTAGGTTAAAAAAAAGGGAATCATGCTAAAGATATCTATTGGCCATACATAAACCAAACATAGCTTCTTTTCCCCGTTTCCCTTTTTTTTTTTTACTTTTGAAAGGCAACAGGCTTGAGATATCATCATTGTCCAGCGGCCTAGCTCAGTTGGTAAGGCAGGCAAGTGGCATTTAGGAGGTCTTGGGTTCAATCCCCATTGGCCTCATGTACCTTCTTGGGCAAGCTTGGCGCCGACCACCTAGAGATATGCCGTTGGTCCCCCCGAGTGGCATTGAGCAGAGACTGCTGATGTTCATAGGGGGAGGGGACCGGAGGGAAGGCACAGTGACTGGCCCATCGAAGAAGCTCGGTCCTGATGCTACCGGCTGACCCCTGGCCGGTATCGCCCACCTGCTGTAGCAGGTATCACACCTGCTGGTGGGTGCAGCTCTCGCATGTTCCCTCGTTGGAGGCTTGAGCACGAATGTGGCTGCTATGGGGGATAATGACCAGGGTTGCCAGGCCGAACATACGGAGGCCCTTAAGCTGACCCCCGAACGTTCGGGCGTTCGGGTCCCCGTACGGGGCCCGAACCTGAAGGGGTTCGGACCCCGCAAAAAAATATTTTGGCGCCTAAATATTATTTTTCTTTTCTGAAAATTTTTCTGTGAGTTCTTTGTGATGTAAGGTATCTCCCTCTTGATTTTGAAGCCATTCTGTTCTGGCAAAAAAAAAAAAGAAAAATCGGCAAAGATGGTGGTGTCAAATTTTGCTTTCCCACTCACTAATTTGTTTTTTCTCTCTTTCACTTTTTGTTTTTCTTTTATTTCGGGGCATGAAAAAAATTATTATTTTTTCAAACTTTATTTGTATATTCTCTAATATGTAAGATACACATATATAAATTTTCATGGCATTTGTCACAGCCGAAAAAAAATGAAAAATCACGAAAGATGGCGGTGTCCAAAAAGTGCTCCCCCACTCAATAATTTCATTCTCGTTTTATTTTTTCTAATTTTCATTATTATTATTTATTTTTAATATTTGATTTTTATTTCACATTTGGTAAAGAATTTGGATGTAACGTTGAGGCAAGTGTTGTTTAGTTTATTCTTCTGTATAACATATATTTTTTTATAGAGTTTTTGGATTTTTTTTTTGTTTTTTTTTTTTTTTTTTTTTTTTTGGGTCCGCGTTCGGCTGAACGGCCGAACGCGTCGAGAGGGGGTGACGAACGTTCGGGCGTTCGGGTTCGGGGGTTCGGCCCGTCCCGAACGCCGGTAACCCTGATAATGACAATAAAAAAGGCCTGAAAGGCCGTCCTGTCTAGATTTGACAGGTAATTGAATTGGTTGGGCTTAAAGAATTAGCCTTAAAAAAATAAAAATAAAAAAAAATCATCATTGAACTGCCGGGTCCCGACTCCCAAGTAATTCAGTTTTTTTTTTTCTTCCGTACATAATACTAATCTATTTTCTTCTCTCAATCTTTCCATGTATCGTACTCCCCATCTATCTCATCTATCTCATCCTCTCTCGACTCTAGGTATAGGTCCGAGGAACACCAACCAAGGCCCTCGCCACACCACTCTCGAAACGTGAAAAAGACAAAAATGTAGCGGGTGCATCTGGCCATGTTCTAGCGGGAAGTTCGTTCTCATTTCGCACATTTCGAGAGTGGTGTGGCGATAACCCAAACCTGGAACTCTCACCAGCGCACGGGGTAGGCTTGCAACTCTGCATCACAGCTGGGGTACGAGAGCAAGGTTTGTATCAGCCCGAAATTGGGTTTGCATTTCAGGAGATCAACGGTGCACTTCACGAGATCAACGGTGTACCAACTGAGCTAAACTTGTTCCTGGGACCTTGTGTTCAGTTGAACCCAAGTCAAGGATTCCAGTCCGCCAATTCAGTTTTGGTCTTGGTTTTGGTTTTGGTTTTGATTTTGGTTTTCTCCCCCTCCCTGCCTGTCGTCCTTCCCTCGTGGCGTGGATACGTGAGCCAGACTGGAAGCCAGGTTGGCAGATCTGGAAGCCAGCGGGGAAGGGAGTCACGTATTTTCTTACTTTCTGATGAAGTCAGCGTGAAATCAAACACATTTACCTTTCTCGGCCTTTTGGCTAAGACTAAGTGTAGTATCTGTTCTGATCAGTTTAACATCTGATCTGTGGTCCATCGGGCCACTCTTTGAAAAAAAGAAAAAAAGAAAAAAAAAACAAGAAAAAAAAAAACCTAATAGGCATGCGTCATGTCTAATGATGTCTGGAACCTTCTGCTGGTCTTTGCTGCAGTGGTCATGCTCAGTCAAAAAAAAAAAAAAAAAAAAAAAAAAGCACGCCATTCTTCTGGACGTTACAACGTTCTGCCGATCTCGAATAATGATCCATGCTTGAGATTCTATCTACCCGCGTCGCAAATCGACGGCCGTCGCTGTTATTCCCGCTCTTCTTTTCCTTTCGGGGGTCGACTGGCGGCATGAAAAGTCGGGTCTGACACGAATGGTACATACCATAAATAGATACCTTCTCTCGTTGGTGCAACAATAGATAGAACTCGGTTGTTTGGGTTTCTTCCTTCGTTGGTGCGGCGATAGAAAGAACTCAGTTGTTTGGGTTTTCTTTAGGCTAACTGGCGTGGGGTTTTTAAGGCTAACTGGCGTAGAAGGTGTGGGGTTTGAGGCTAACTGGCGTAGAAGGCGTGGGATTTTTGAGGCTAACTGTCGTAGAAGGCGTTCTCGCCGCGGGGATGAAGGGGACGCGAGTGTAAGCAAGGCGTGACCAGCAGGAGGGAGAGTGAGGAGAGAGCGTCCGAGGTCATATCTCTTTCCGGCTTGCGATGTTTTCTAGTCTGATTACTTTGCTTGTGTCTTCCCTCGGCGATGCAGACTAGCAGGCGGTGAAGCCGAGGATAGTAGCGAGCCTGGCTTTTCTTCTTTGCTGAAATCTTGCTTTTCTTTCCTTTTGTTCGTTCAATTTCTTAGGTAGAGGCTTATCTTTCTGCACTCAACGGAGGCCAACACACGAGTTGACGTTGACCGGGACTCAAATTGCAGTTGAATTCCCTGGAGTGAGTGTTTTGTCGGCGGGCAGCTTCGGAGCAGAGGCAGAGTTTCCTGCCATAGCCGATCGTCAGACGTCTTGAGGAGCAGAAAGAGGTGTCACATCTGCTGCTGCTGCTGCTGCTGCCTCTCCTCCGGCGCTGCGACGCTGCGAGTGGTTTCTTGAGGTCCGTCTCGTGAACGTGATTGAACGCTGACCGACGATCTTGAGGAGCACAAAGAGTTGTCACATCTGCTGCTAGTCCGCCGGTGCGAGTGGTTCTTGAGGAGCAGAAAGAGGTGTCACATCTGCTGCTGCTGCTGCTCCTCCGTCGCTGCGACGCTGCAAGTGGTTTCTTGAGGTACGTCTTGTGAACCGGGAGATCGTTAACGTGATTGGACGCTGACCGACGATCTTGAGGAGCAGAAAGAGTTGTCACATCTGCTGGTGCTGCCTGCTAGTCCGGCGGTGCGAGTGGTTTCTTGAGGTCCGTCTTGTGAACCGGGAGTCTTTGTGAACGTCATTGGGCGACCGACGTTGTGATCATCGAGTGTTGTCTCGTAGACGTGATTGGACGCTGACCGACGTTGTGATATAGTGTTGGCTCGTACAGGATGGCCGCAAACGTGTGGGATGAAAGGGAGAGGATGTACTACACTGACGTTGGGCTTGCTGGCGGCATGTCCACAGGGATGGAGGGGAAGGACCGTTTGGAAGCTGGTATTGGCGAGCAACTGAGGCAGGGGGAGGTGGTCGACGCCCAAGGCGTAGAAGCTGAACGGGCGTATTACGGCAAAGTGGGGGGCGGCGATCGCGTGGGTGCAGCTGAAGGGGGGATCATGAACGGCAAGGATTGGGTGCGGGACAAAGACCAGGGACTGCCGGGAGATGAGGTCTATAGGAGGGAGGAGACATATTACGTCGGCGGCGGTGAGGGACGGCAGCAGCGTGAGCGTGTCGGCATTTTCGAGGGCGAGGGACGGCGTGATCGAGTCGGCGTTTATGGAGGAGGTATGGAGGGGAAAGGTCGAGTTGAGATGGGAGAGAGAGAGGGTTTTGTTGCAATTGACGACGAGCTGAGGAGAGAGAAGCTGTACTACTCTGGCATAGAAGACCGTTCTGCTTATGGGAGGAGGAGGGAATGGCAGGGAGCTGAAGATTGGTCGAAAGATCGAGAGCGGGAGTATCGACGGTGGCGGGGCAGCACTGCAGAGCGAAGCGTCCTTCTCAACGACGAGGACCTGGTGCGCGCCAGAAAGACCGTCGAGGAGCGTCTTCGAGAGCTTAAGAGGGGTTCCGTTAGAGAGGAGAGGGTGTGTTTTAACGTCCCGATGAAGGACAAGATTATCGGATTGGAAGAGAGGACGCTGCTGGTGCCCGTTCCGCCGTATGGCGATGTGGACGTGGGGGGCGTGGTGGAGGCGGAAGCGAGGCGGTTGCGCTTGCAAGCGCTCAAGGACGAGATCGACATCAGAGTGGAGTCGTACAAGGCGGCGGAGCGCAGCAAGGCGGAGGCGTGGATGGCCCTCGCGCAGGCCCAGGCCGTAGCGGAGGAGTGCTTGTCGGACCTGGAGGCGCTGGAGATCCGCCGCTTCGCGGAAGCCAAAGGGCAAGCCATCATCGATGCCGCGGAGAGAGAGAAGATGCGGAGGTTGCGCACTGCGAGAGAGAAGGCGGAGAACGATATCATCACGGCGGAAGCGCTCAAGGGGAAGCGGATGGGCGACGCTTCGCAGAGGGTGGCGGAGATCTTGAGGAAAGCGGAAGATCTTTCCAACTATGATTTGGATTTCGAGGTCAGGGTAATCCGCCGACTCACGCGGCGCGCAGCGACGGAGATGAGCAGCGCAGACGCGGCTGTACGTGCAGGCGGGTTTGGTGATTTGTCCGGTTTGCGAGAATACCCCGCGAAAGCGGAGCCGGTGCGCACAGATGTGCCCGCTTCCCCCCGCACCACGGTCGAGGCGCTGCGTGTCGGTCGGCCAGCTGCCCACTCCAGGTCATCTTCAGTCTCAGAAACCCCGAAGGATATGTCTGGGCGATCGCCACGTGGCGTTCGGCAGTCTGTTACGACCCTCGGGCCCACAGGACTTCAGGAGATGACGACCGGTCCTGTGACGGGCGACCTGTACGGCAAAGGCACACCGATGGAACGACCGGTCGTCCTGGGAGGGGGCGAAACGCAATCTGAATCAGTCGAGGCTCTTCCATCCCCTGCGAGGGAGAAGAAGAGAGGGGGATTTGCGAGGAAGATTAAGGAGGTCGTCAAGAACACCATCTAAGGTGTTCTGAGTCGACCGCGACCAGTACGGCAAAGACGCACCGATGGAGCGATCGGTCGTCCTGGGAGCAAACGAAACGCAATCTGAATCAGTTGAGGCTCTTCCATCCCCTGCGAGGGAGAAGAAGAGTGGGGATTAGCGAGGAAGATTAAGCAAGTCGTCAAGAACATCATCTATAAGGTGTTTAGCGAGGAAGATTAAGCAAGTCGTCAAGAACATCATCTATAAGGTGTTCTGAGTCGGCCGCACCGAGCCGACCTGGTTCTTTCTGAGTGATTGATTCTTTGTGCTCGACAATCTGGAAGAAGTGTAGCCTTGATTGGTAGGTGAGAGAAGTAGACAGCATCGGGTCAACGTAGTCTTTGACTGATTGCGTCGTTGTTTTGTCTACCGGAAAGTGTAATCATAGCATGTTTGTGTGGAGGGTGGCTGTTGAAGCTGTTGAGAGTCGTCGATCTCTTAATCGCCTGTACACGTGTCGGTTATCCCTTTCGCGCGATGGCTGAGATCGTTTCCATGTACAGGAAGGCGTCTTTGTACATCATAGCATGTTTGTGGGGACGGCGGCTGTCGAAGCTGTTGAGAGTCGTCGATCTCTTAATCGCATGTACACATGTCGGTTATCCCTTTCACGCGATGGCTGAGATCGTTTCCATGTCCAGGAAGGCGTCTTTGTACAGTCCCATTACTTGACGGCATGGTCGGTGTTCCATGAACTGAAAAAGCAGGATATGGATTTTAGACAACTGTGTACTATAAATGATGATAATGATGATGATATGTCGATCAGAAGTCTATTCTTCAGAGCCCACTTAGCTTTGTCACAACGTGAGCCATCACAGAATCCCCGTCGTGATCCAGGCGGGCTTCGAGCTTTGTTTGAAGAGCTTTCAAGATGTGTTGTCATGCTGGGAGCGTGTGAGAGAGGCATGCGTACGTAGAGGGAATCGGGGAAACGGCATGTTGATTGACCGAGTGGGGATAGAACAAACAATATCATTTAGAATGATTGATTGAATCTGATATTAACCTGGTTTATGTCCGTAGATGTGTGTGGGAGAGGAGGAGAATATAAAAGAGACTTCAGGTCTGAAGACGTGTCTCGGGGAGTTGAGGGGGATATCAGGGTGTGTGAGGCATTCGTACAGCGAATTGAGGGAATGGCACGTCGATTGACAGGGAATTGAGGGAATGGCACGTTGATCGATTGCTTCGTGGACTTTTTTCTCTGTGGATGTGTGTATGGTGGAGAAGAGAGGGTTAGGATAGATTTTGACGTGTCGATACTGTGCAACAGAGAACGTATGACGTCTTACCCTCTTGTGTTCTATGGTGCGTGACAGAACACATGCACTATAAGCTGCGCGGGGCATTCCGCAAATTGATCAGTGATGGGCAAGGGACTTACCATAAATTTAGAGTGCTTGGATATGGCAGGACGTTGTTTTTTACGTCAAGCACAAGAGTTTTAGTGATGGGCAAGTGACTGATCATAATTTCGGAGTGATTGGATATCGCAGGACGTTGATTTTACGTAAAGCACAAAGTGATGGGCAAGTGACTGATCATAATTCCGGATTGATTGGATATGGAGTGATTGCATATGGCAGGACGTTGGTTTTACGTCAAGCACAACAGTTTTTCTCGTTTTGCAGTCAATAGCTAGCTAGCTGCAACGGTGTTAAAGTTTCGCCGCCGTGTTGGCATGCAATCTGTCTGTACCTTGATCGACTTTTTGACATTGCATTTTAGTGTTTCTTACATTGTCGTTTCCGTCTTTTTTTGGCCAATCCCGAGTCAACTACAGAGGGGTTCAGTGTACAAAACCTCCTTCGCCGCCGTGATTGGCTATCGTTGGGGATTGGTTACCTATTATCGATTCATTCCGGAGAAGGAGATCCCCCTCTCCGTTTTCGGTGTGTGTATATAGGGAAGGAGAATAGGATTGAGGAATATACAGCTGTCTTTTTCGGAGTCGTTCAAAGGAGAAGAGGATGAGAGGATATACGGCGCGGTTTTCTTTGTCCAAGCGTTTTCTTAAGAAGGGCTGCGTGCAGGCACAGCAGGAATTTTAGATTGGTGCAACTCTCCTACCCTCTTCGACAGAATAGAGCGGCAAGTCATTATAGCTGTGTATTTGCTGCGACTTTACGTCCACATACGGCCGTTATTACTCGGTGTTCTACTCGGGTTAAGACCGTAGTCGAGCGCGCGGTCCCGTGAGGCGTCTTCTTCGTGGAAGTGGTCCGCATCTTGGAGTTTGGAAGTGGTCCGCAATTCTTTTTTTTTTTTTTTTTTGGCTTCTAATGTTTTTGTTCTATCTGGTCTTCCCAAGTGGTCCGCATGTTGGACCTTGGAAGTGGTTCGTATATTCTTTTTCTTTTTGGCTTCTAATTTTTGCTGTATCTGGGCTGTTTCCCGTCCGAGAGGGGCCAGAAACTCTTGTAATGGTGTGATGACTGCGTGACAGATATGCACCCCTCTCTTCTCTTCAAGACGAGAGGCCGGCGGAGCGAGGTAGGGTGCTGAGGTTGGGGGAATTGGAAAATAACGGATTAGGGCTCGGCACACAGGGTACGATACTTAGGTGAAGCTTTTTTTTTTTTGTTTTGAAGCAATTTTGGGATATTGGCACCAGGGAATACCCTGGACTTTTGTCATTGTGGTTTGTTTGTTGTTTGGATTTGTGTGCATTGAGATCCAGTCGTGGGTGTTTTGAACTGGGTTCAGTTAAGAGCAGCAGCTATTCCAGTTCATCTGTTGCGCGTTATTAGGTCGATTGCAGAGTTTGTTTGGATTTTGTACAAGCAGCCGGGCTTTGATCCGCACATCCAATCTGATCATGTCATGTTTTTTTGGAAGCTGGACGTCTGTCGTGATTTTCTGGAAATTTGAAGCCACGTGAATAGTACAGAAATTGTACTCTTTTGGAAGCTCGACTTCTGTCGTTTTTGTTTGGAAGCTTGAACCCACGTGAATAGTCCATAAATTGTAGTGAAGGTAGTTTCCTTTCGGACGTTTTCAACTTTTTCAATTGGTGTGCTTTGTACGCAGAGGTGCATTGGATTTGGTCGGAGTCGGGCCTCGAACCGGCGAAGTCCTGGAGCCTTTTTGTAGGCCTTCTGAGGCCAAGTGATGACTGTGTTGTTTTTGTCGAAGCACTAACCCGAGTCGCTTGTACGCAGTGCGTAATTCAGAATTGCCTAGTCACTGAGGAGTTTGACTGCAGTCATATTTGACTACGCACATAGCGCCTCGGTTCGAAACCCCTCCTCAGTAAATACGCACTTACCGCGTCGGTTGCACAATTGATGCAGTAAGTGCGTAGTTACTCAGGAGTTTGACTACAGTAACTTCGCACTTACCGATCGGTTGCACAATTGATGCGGTAAGTGCGTAGTTACTCAGGAGTTTGACTACAGTCGTAGTTTTCGAAGAGGGGGGGCTCGATGGATTGACCTCGGAAGTTGACGAGGGAGTTTAACTCCTTTTGATGACAACAACTAAGTCAGTGGGCGGTTACGTGACACGTGTGCGACGGCACGCGGGTTTGATTTGAAGGTGGAGGGTTCGCAAAAGGAGGAGCCTGTGTCGCCCAAGCGGCTATGTCGCCTGTGACTGGGTGTCGGTCACGTCGTCGTTATCACTGCGAGCTGCGCTAATGGTCAAACATCGTGGACTCAGTCGTTAGCATGTGTTCTTTTTTTTCGGTTTCGGAGATTACGATTGCAACATGTATTCTCGTCTCACGTGTGTTCTCTCATGTTGATGCATGTGTGTGCTGTCGTGTCCAGTGATGATGTCGACTGCTTATGTGGTACTGGAATGATGCTTTCCAGGCGTGTCCCTCAGTGCGGCGGTGAGTGGTGAATGCCTCAAGTCGTCTGTTTAAGAAAAATCCCGTGGTGACCCTGAGTACTCGCCAAAGGGAAAAGGTGCGGCAGGCCCTTTCGGGGTCATTTTTGACCCTGCAAAACTCTCCCCGCCATTTTTACACACCGACCGTTACCGGCGGTACAGCCAGGGTACAAAAATGACACCAAAAGTGATTTTGGGACCCGCGCCATTTTAAAAAAAAAAGAAATTATATATTTTTTTTCTGTTCTTCTTGTTCTTGGCAGTACTTATCTTTTTTTTTTTTTTTCTTCTTCTTGGTAGTACTTATCTATATTTTTCTCTCAATCTATTTCATCTTTCTTGGTAGTAATCTATCTCATCCTCTCACTAGTCTATTTATAGTACGGGGGAGCACCAATCAACCCGGATCTCTCCCCAGCCCACGGGGTAGGTTTGCGCCACAGCTGTGGTGCGAGAGCAAAGCTGTACCAGTCCGTCATCACGGCGACGACGGGTGGGCAGGCATTGCCCATGGGGGAAATCGGCGGTGCTAGCGCCGAGCAATGGCCAGTCACTGCACCTCCCCCTACCCCCCCCCAACCCAACATGGCGGTGTCTTATGGCCAATATTGTCGCTGCATAGCAGCCAACAACATTAGCCAAGGTCCTGCCAATGCTGGCTTGGGGGGCAACGGGTTATCTCTAGTTGGTAGAACACCAAACTTTCCCAGGCACGTACGTGAGGCCAATTCGGATTGAACCCACGACGTCCTGAATGCAACTTCTTTGCCTTACCAACTGAGCTAGGCCCGCAGGCCGCGCCACTTTTTTCCCCTTTTGGGGGGAAATGGATACAAAGGTTCGTCGCGGGAAAGTGTTATGACTTTTCCCCAGTCGGAATGTCAGAACCGAATTCCATTTCCTTGGTGAGGGGGCTGTCGTGAGCACCCACGACGGCATTAGGGCATCGCCACACTACTCTCGAAATCTGCAAAGTGAAAATGAACTTAGCGCTAGAACATGGCCAGATGCACCACGCCCCATTTTTGCCCCTTTCACATTTCCTGACTACTGTGCGATGCCCTTAGTTTCCCCCCACTGCAATGCCTGCAACCGCCGGGTTGTGGTGGGTGGTCGATTTTGCTTACGAAATAGTGTGTAACTCACTATTCGGGGCCAGTCTTGTTGCGCTCCCTTTCCTGGTGAGTGCAGAGTTTGGTGGGTGGTGGTGAGATGGTGCGTCTTTCAGTAAGAAAAGAAGTGCCTCACCATGGAAAAGAAGTACCATAGTGAGTACTCGCTATCACTATCTATCTATAGTGAGTACTCAGACTATAGTGAGTACTCTATAGTGAGTACTCGTGAGTACTCACTATGGTACTTCTATCACTATCTATAGTGAGTATGGTACTTTTTTTCCATGGTGAGTACTCACTATGGTTCCGAGAGTGCTGGATGGAGGGCCCTTGTAGAAAAGAAAGGCGCCGCCTACTTCAAAGAAGGGGCCAGACCGCCGTTGACTATTCTTTCATCAGCAGATTCAGCAGCCTTTGTTAGAGTGGCGGAAAGGCACGCTCAGGGGCCTGCAGCTGATGTATGGCCGTGTGCTGGGTACCTGGTGGTTCAAGCCTGACTGGCTTATCCAGCGGTCAGTCAGTCGTTTGAGTCCCAAATAAATCTCTACGTCCGTTGAGCCTTCTATCTGCTGCAGCTTTGTGTGTTTTTCATCCGTTATTTTCTTCAGCATGGCCGTCTGTCGGTTTTCCATGCATCAGGTAGTTGTCGCTCATCCATTTGCCAGTTCAAAAGTGTGCTTTTCTGATTTCTCGCTCCTCCATTTTTGAGTTCGCCTGTGTTTCTGGCTGCTTCTCTGTCCTGTTGTCCGTTTCTCCTGTTGGTCTGCCGATCCTTTCATCTGTCCTTCCATCTATTTGTGTCTGGTCCTCTCTCCCTTCGTACTTCTGTTTGTGCGCATGTCTTTTTGTATGTCTGTCTGTACGTCCCTATGTCTGTCTGTCCGTCTGTACGTCCCTATGTACGTCTGTCTGTCTGCCTGCCTTCAATGCCTTGGTAGTGTGTCCGTCTGTCGGCCCATGGATGGAGACGAAGGGATTGAAGCGACGGCTGACAACAAACACACTCTCTGTGTGGCCGTGTCTGACTATTGGTCGGCCTATGTCAGGCTATATGGCTGTCTGCCCACGGCGACGTTACAGCCCTAGATATACACGCACACACACAAAAGACGTGCACCTAGTCATGAAGAAATGCACGCAGCATGACAGGGTTTTGTATTTTCTAAATCTGTTTGTGCGTGTGGGGGCGACCAGGGGCAGACACACACACACACACACAGTGTGAGAGAGAGAGAGAGAGAGAGAGAGCTTTCCATCATAAAAGTGGGGATCAGGCCACTTGTCCAGATAGCTTCCCATCATAAAATTAGGGGACCAAGCCACTTGTCCAGAGAGCTTCCCAAGTTCCCATTATAAAAGTAGGGAACTAACTTGTGACTAAGCCACTTGTCCTATTAAACGCCAGAACTCTCTCTCTCTCTCTCTCTCTCTCTCTCTCTCTCACACACACACACACACACACACACACATACACACACACACACACACACACACAACAATAGTGTACCAAACCCTGGGACCCTACGGGAACAGGNCACACACACACACACACACACACACATACACACACACACACACACACACACAACAATAGTGTACCAAACCCTGGGACCCTACGGGAACAGGAATTACACACACACACACACACACACACACACACACACAACAATAGTGTACCAAACCCTGGGATCCTACGGGAACAGGAATTACACACACACATACACACACACACACACACACACACACAACAATAGTGTACCAAACCCTGGGACCCTACGGGAA